CTTCGGCTGCCTGCCTGCGAACTCCTTTGCTTGTCTGTCCGATGATGGCAGGGATTTGACGAGGCTGTGCGGGGCATGGCTGTGGGGCAGACGACTGTCCTTGAGGTGGGCTTCTAATGGGCCCGGAACTCGGACTCGGCCTTTTGCATTCACGAATGCCCCTGGGGTGGTTGAGGCGAGCGGTGTGACTCACATCTTAATCAGCGGGTCACCTGAGGAGCATTCCTTTCAATCCTCTGTGAGGGCTTAGACCTATCGGGCTCCTCCTGGTTTTCGCAGCCACAACCCGCTGCGCCGCTGGTTTGCCTGCGCCCTGCCTTTCTGCCTGCTCTTTAAGATAAATCCATTACCCACAGACCAGTTTACAGCCTCGGCCATTCAACTTCTCGCCCGCTGCAGGCTTCTGGTGGAGAGTGGAGGCGGGAGCTGCTGTTCGCAGTGCCCAGGGATCACCCGGAGGTTCAACGGCTGGAGGGACGATACAAAAAGTGAGGATTGGGAAGCATTGCGGCTCTTTTATCTGGCGGTGCTGGCTGGCCATGAGATCGTGCATGAACCACGGGTCGGCGCGGGACAGCTCGGTCGGTGGCTTTAGCCGCTGTAGTGGCGATCTGCCTTGTCATACCCCTTGCCATCCCCCCACGCACACGTTTGGCATCGTTTTCAGCAGTTAGCTGCGTTGCTTTGCACGGCGCCATAGCAGTGCTTGTTGACGCCGCTTGGAGCGCTTGCGACGTGGCTGGATTCCTCTCTTCCGCCGCCCAAATGCCTGAGGACGTCCTAGGGCGCCCCAGGACAACGGCACGTGACGCAGCCTGCCCCATTTTGGGCAGGTTGGCCCCCATCCCCCGTGGAAATCCTGCTCACAAGGCATCATTGTGACCCTCGGCTGGCGCTGCTGGCCCGGTTAGCGTGGTGTACCTACATATGAAGCCGGATTCACATAATTCCTTACACCTGCTGCTCGCGTGTCGCGTCCCATGGCCCACATGCCCCTCATGATACCCGTCCGTCCCCATCGGCAATTGTTCATCCCAACAGCCAAGGGGGCATTGCACCAGGGCTTGTGGTGGAGCTCGCAAATGGAGCTATGGCGGTCATTTTGGAGGTGAGGTGGTCTCAGCCGGCGAGTCTGACGTGCATTCGTATAGCTGCATGCGGCCATGCGGCTTTCGCTGCTGCTGTGGCTGCTGCGGTTTACCAAGGACTGTGCGGTGACGGCGGCTTGTGTCGGCTATGGCGCAGGTGAATGATGCGGAAGTCAAGCTGGACGCCAATAACATGCTCGCGGGCAAGACCTTCACAATCGAGTTGGAACTGCTATCAATTGACACTCCGGCGTCTTCGGACGGGTAGAAAATTGCTGATCCGTCAATCAACGTCGATCAACGTCAGCGGATCCGTCCTGAATACTTTTCGTTTAAGGAAACATGGGCTCACTTCTGGGCAGGGCTGGGAGGATTTGTAAGAGGTGAGCGCGGATACAGAGCCGGCTTTCAAATGGAAGAAAGGCGTGGGCGTTGCGCCGGCAGGTGTAGATTCCTGTTTGCTCATGTTGACAGGCTCGCAATTACGCTCACGTATGCCGTTAGGTTGGGCGGCGAAAAGGATACCGATTACTTGTTCAGGCAATGTGAGACTGTACACGTGACGGGTATTGATTGCGACGGTTGGGATTGCGGATCTTCGTTCAGAGAGCTAAGGTCTTCAACTTTTCAAGGTTGGATGAACAGGCGGCTCTTGCTGGCAAGCAGTCCGTATCGTAGCAATGGAGCGTTTTGCCGCACAGTGTGGGCCTTCGCTCCGTTGTGATGCCGACCTCTGTAATCTGGGTTCCACGTTAGGAGTTTCCCCTCCGAGGCTCCGTCCTCTTGATCACTGTTTTTTGTGCAATGATAGGACAGCCTACGTTTACTAAGGCTGCAGTCTGCGATATAGTGCTTCGTCGTGCATTCCAGGCGCGTCAAAGGGTACAGAAAGACAGGAAAATCACATTTTCCGCTGCTGGGGCTCCTTTAAAAGAGTGGCGCCGGAACGACTACTAGCGTCTGCCCCGGACAGAACCGTAGGATGAGTCTGCAGACGCGGCAGCAGCGTTGACTCAGGGACCTACAAGCTGTCCATATTTTCAATTCAGGCTGGGCACAGGCACAGTTATTCCGTAGGATGTGTAGCTGCTGCGTACCTCCCCTAACCACCATCACAAACCCTCACTTGCCCAGATAGCCCCTTGCACGTGTGTAACATATGCATACTATTTCCGGGATCGAGACCTGTCCGGGTCGAAAATCCTTCCGATGGTGGAAGGTAAGAGTGCCCCTAGTCGATGGACGGTGGTGACCTGGGATAAAGTAGACCTGCGAGCCGACCAGTAATGGAGTTGAGCCGCCGTTGATCCGGCGGATTCCGTTGGATGCCGGTGGTGGGTGCTGAACCTGAGCGATGCACTGAGAAGTCGCCTAGGGTGACTAGATGAGGGTGCCCCGAAGTATCGGAGAAGGCATGGTTTCGCCGGGTAGCGGCCACAGGTGAAGATGTGGCCAACTGTCCCACACATCGTACTATTTTTCCCGCCGGGAAGATTTCATTCACGGTGTCGAAGTTCACGGACGTTCATAGACGGCTCAGGCGCAATAGTTCCGTCGTCAACGGAAGTGACCGCAAATCCATATTAGCTGTATCCTTCATGGCAATGCATGTTGATTAAGTGCTCGTCCTGTAGTGCGGTACGGCAAGTGCGGCGCAGACCAGAACTGGGCAGAGGACAGGGATTGATACGGTAGCTCGTTACAAAATTAGCTGGGAACAAAGCGCTAAATTCAGACAACGCAAATTCGCATGACAACCGTGCAAGCAAGCGCAAGTCAGAACGTCGTTTGTTGGGGATTTGGGTTGAAAAAAATAGTGATTTAAATTGTATTCGGGACCCAGCTTAATAAGAAAGTAGATAAGGCGACTCGACGTTATTGGCATATCGGTCGTTGTAGCTGTCACGAATAAGTGGCCCAAACGCGTATTAAACAAGTCAAATTTGTTAAGTTACTTTATCATCAAAGTTTGCCTTATATAAATTTTAAGTGTTACTAGCCAACAAAAAATTGGGCCACTCATTCTTGACTGGATTCTCGTCAAGTGATGGCCGAGCGCGAGGAAGTGCGCGGCGGAGTCCAAGAAGGCTTGGAGGATAACAACGACCAGCGAGAAGAAGAAGGCCATAAGAATGGCGCGCCAACGAATTACCCAGAGGGGGCCGATGCGGTGAGTAACAGACGCTGTTTATTACTCCGCGCGGTCAGACAGCAGGCACAGTCAGTCGCCGCAAGACCTATTATATTAAAGGAATGGGGAAGGACCGGACCTCAGTTCGGCCAAATAGCGGGAATGAACTGCGCAGCCGCTGAGGTTTGACCAGGCTTGGTAAGAGGCTCCGGGTCATGTCTAGCCTTTGGAGAGCACGAATCTGCCGGCCGCGAGTAGGCAACTGCGAGTGTTCGTTGGAGTGGGGTTGGATCCGTTTCCGGGAATGCTTAAATGTCATCGCGTGATCCATACTCACTACTAACTTTCTGTGGGGAAGGCCATTGCGTCTGCGACCACACTCCTGCGGTACCCAAACCCTTCAAAGACAACTCCTATCAGCCCCCAAACACACCGCGGAACGGTCTCCCCTTCCCCACACACTTCCCAGGTGTTGACCCTAGGTCCTCCCGTCCCCCAGCCCTTCCTTTCCTTGCCTCTGCCAGAGCACATACACCGCCGAAAGGACAGTCCCGAGCCACCCATCCAAACCCTGGACCGCGACAGGTTTTGTTCCAGCCGTTCCCACCGACAGACCCGGCCCACCAGCAGCTACCCTCCCGAGTGACTGCAACTTATACCTTGCGCGTCATTGCGGCTAACAAGGGCGTCCACCAGTTGTGTCACCTGTTCTGCCTCCGTCGCCGGGTGTTTATACCGGCAGGGCTGCCCAATCTGCGCCTTGACACAGCGCCCCTTCCAAGCGTGACTAGTGCAGACTTTGCTCCCATCCACGTTGCCCCTGTACGCACTCTCCATAATCAATCCAGCGCCCACTCCCTGGTATCCCCGTCGATCTAGCTCCTGGTTGACAGCCGCGACCACACTGGCAGGTGGGCTCAGGCGCGGCCCTCCGTGGCCCCCGCCTTGAGGTGTTCCCAGTCCCGCGTCCCGAGTGGAGGCCTGAAAGCCCCCACCCACTTGGCCCTAACCCGCGTTCCTCTGGTCGGTGTGGCCGGGGTCCCCCGGCTGCCGCCCTTCCCCTGCTGCGCCGGAGCCCCCAAACAGCCTTCGGTCGCCATCCCCTCCTCCCACATGCTTTAGGAGACTCTGGGCCATCTGCCCATGAGCCTCCTGGATCCTCTGGGCCGCGCGCATTAACAGGACCACGGCCGGCCAGGCGCGCTCCTTCACCTCCTGAAACGTGGGTGTGCTCACATCTACGGTCTGAAGCGCAGCTTCTAACCAGTGCAACCGCGAATCGCGAGCCCGCCTCTGCAACGCCGCCAGACTCATCTCTACCCAGCCCCACTGCACCAGGTGTCCCGTAACCCGCCCGACAAAGCGCTCCTTCGATGCCTGCTTGGCCTGCTGCCCTATAAACTTCAC